AAGGACACTGCATAAATAAAATTATAGCATACAATGTTTTTAAAACTTCATTACCCTCATATATCTTTTTTTTTTTTTTACTCGAATCTTATAAATCCTTTCTATATACATAATAATGTATAAAATGCGTAAAAAAATTTTTTTTTTCCTACAAAGATCCAAATAAAAAATTACTTCCCAAAGATGAATAACGAAGACAACATTATTATTAATATAGAAGATAATCCTAAAAATTGGTCAATATGGAGAAAACGTATTATACTTTTAGTGGTTTCTTTTGCTGCAATGACTTCTCCAATATCTAGTTCGTCAGTATTCGTTTATTTATACATGTGGTTGATTAGATTGTTATTTTTTTTTTTTATTAAATCAAACTTTGTTTATTAAAATGAACAAATTGAAACAAAATAAAAGTATATTGTACCCTACATTATTAAAATTACGTACAGAATTTAATGCATCTGATATAGAGGTTAACTCATTAGGTAAAGGAAAATCTGAATTACATGAAATTTTTAATATATATACTTGCAAATTAATTTAACTAATCACAAATAAAAATTAGTTTCAGCTTACGTGTATATTATGGGAATTGCAGTAAGAAATCATTATCATTATTATTATTAAAGGAATATCCTATGTATATATATAACCATTATTGTACTGATAAATGTTAATTAATTAGCCACTTGGATGGGCTGCATACTCTGATAGATTTTCCTCAAGAACAAATGTATATTTCACATCTATACCCATATTTATACTGTCAAGTATATTGTGTGCCATTTCACCAAATCTCTGGTTGTTATTGCTAGGTCGTGGCTTACAATCATTTGGAGCTTCTGCCATGTTATCAATTGGAGCTGGTGTTATTAGTGATCTTTACATTTCTACCGGTAATATGATTATTACTATTATTGACATATTTTTTAATAAATATAAGTACATATATATTTATACATGATCATTTCCATCCATCCATCTTAAACATCAAAAAGAACGTGGAACTGCATACGGATTTTTTTATATGGCTTATTGGACTGGCCCATTAATTGGCCCAATGATAGGAGGCTACTTTACTGAATATACTAATTGGAGATGGATTTTTTGGTTTCTAACAATTTTGGGTGGAATAAATTTATTACTTGTGAAAATCTTTGTTCCTGAAACATTTTTTTCTCACAATCCTTCAAGATCCACACCTGAAGTAAGACGTCGATTTAATCCACTCACGCCGCTTAAATTGTTACGTTATCCAGGTGGAACTTTGATGATAATTTACATTAGCATTGTGTCATCAATAATCCAACTTCAATTTGTTAGTGTGCCTGTCAACTTCACCATCAGATATCATCTGACATCATCACAAGTCGGTTTGTTATTCTTTGTGCCTGGTTTTGGATTCATGCTTGGCAGTTTTATTGGTGGTAGATATTCAGATTTTGTGATGAAACAAGCAAGAAAGAAAAATGGGATTACTAATCCAAAATCAAGAATTCATAGTGCTTGGATTAGTGCTGTATTAGTACCAACTTCTTATTTGATTTATGGTTGGTTGGTTGAAAAAGAAGTTCATATGGCTGGCCCATTGATTGCTTGGTTTTTTGGTATGTCTTATGTGTATATTATATATATGTTAATTATTTATATTAGATATTATAATTATTAATAACACATGTATTATATATAGCATCATTTGGTACCCAAGTAATTTATAACTCGATGTCAACCTATTTGGTTGATGTTTTCACAGGTCAGAGTGCATCAATCATAGCATTGAACAATTTTGTACGCATGACAGCAGCTGGCACTTTATCAATTTCATCATCTCTAATGGAAAATCAATTAGGAACCGGGTTGATGTTTACTCTCTTGAGTGGAATATGTTTTGCCAGTATTTCACTTTTAGTGTTGGTTTATATTAAAGCAAAAACTTGGCAAGAACAATTTAAAGTTTGAAATTTTATTTTACTTGTATAGACTTTTAACAATATAAATAATTAATTTATCAAATAAAATCTTATGTACACACATGTTTAAAAATTCGTTTTGATCGTAGCGTTATCATCATTAATGTTACGACCCGAAATTAGTTTAGGGAAAAATAAAACCCTAAATCTTGTCGAAACCTAAATTTAGAATTTAGGTGAGTTCTTTTCCCGAAACTATTTAGATAATTCAAAAGAGTTGCATTGATTATTAATTATTATTATTGTTGGGTTGATTGTGAAAAATGCGAAAATGGTTTTAAGGTTTCGACGCAGTAAGAATTTTACTAATGATAAAATTGAATCATCGTTGTTCTCTTTTATATCGATACTTATCAGCTATATAAAAATAAATATATAACACACGTTTCTCTTTCTTTCCCTGAATGAGCAAGACATAATATCTTATCTAAATATCAACTCTAACAAAAAATTTGTCCGTACATGCCAAATGATCAAAAAATACAAACACGCTTTTTCTTTTTACATGATGTCTTTGTAGAGTTGATAGATAATATTCATACTATTACTGTAGAGTAGTAGTAGAATATACATACTTAATAAGGTTTTGCGCATCCCCAACAAGTACGATGATTTTATGCATTCTGCATAGTCAAATGAAATGTATGATTAACCAAAATTGCCACATTTTTATATATGTAAAAAAAGAACATCCAAAGGTATTTAGAACAGATAATGGGATACTTTTTGTGATCATTCTATTGAGTGGAGCCATTGTTGACAATCATTGCAAAAGTGAAGCTCATAAAAAAAAATCAAATAATTAATTGTATGCATAAGTTTATTGCCGTCATCCCTGAATATTCAATGTTTAATGTTTGTGTTTTGTCATACAAACGAATGTTTGATCAAAATCCTAAATTTTTGTTAGATCAGTTTCCAATAATCTTCATATTACATAAATAAATAATTCAAATCTGTTAATAATTAACTTTCCTTTTTTACACTCAAAATAATAAAAAAGAGAAAATTTTAAAATGAATTCTCTCGATTAAAGACTAGTGCCGTAATCCAAAAAAGGAAAAATTATGGTTGCAAAAGTGGTTGCAAAGGTAATTGCAACCACTTTTTATATGCCGTAAATACAATTACTACCATCATCATAATTTACGGCACTAGTCTTTACTCTCGATCAAATCGATAAGCTTGTAAAAGAATATTTAACGGTGAGTATTTATTAAATGAAGAGTTATGAAAAATAAATAGGAATATATATGTGTGTATGAGCATATTAATGAATAATTTACTTGCTTAGTTTAGAGGATTTACAAATGCAATTAGAGCATTTGAGATGGAAATTAAAAATGACAAAGGATTTCAGGTAAAGAATGATTTGTTAAACTCTTTTTTTCCTTGTAGACTGAATGAATGGAATAATTTATGAATTATTATTAAATTTTTTTTACAGGCAGAGAAAATTGTCGATGAATTATATACATATGTGACAAGTAGTGATATAAATGGATTGATGGATACTTAATAATTTGAGATATTTTTCTAGATTAGACTCTAGATTTTTTGCAAGCATAAAGAAGTTTGAATTAATTCACAGATCTTTTATCGACCAGGGGATTTTTCATATAAAATCATAGTATTAATAAATTTACTAATGTCCAAAATGGCAACTTCGTGACAGCTTTTTTTATTTCAACATCGTTAACAAAAAATACAATCATAATAATTAAATTCACCTTGAATTAAATTTGTTATTTATTTTATTGTTATTATTTATTATTCTCAAAAAATGACAACCTCACATACATTAGCAAACACCAACCAACAAAACGAAAAATTTGATTTAATTTCCTGTGGTGACGCTCAATTGTTTTAAAGTAGGGGTGGGACTATACAGTATTCCATTTACATTGCTAAACCTATAAGATATTTTTAATAATAATAATTAGATCAGACAATAGATAGTAAAAAAAATGTTTGTCGACATTTGATCCAATATGCAAGTATAATTTTATTTTTTATATTCTAATCAATGATTGAAAATGTAAACTTCACTTATCTACTGAATTTTAGCTGGTAATGAACCACTTGAATCGGTCTTTGAACTTCCCAAGGGTTGGGCACTGAAAAGCAACCAAAAATATGGACAAAAAGGTGGTGGAAGGTTTCTTTTAACTGGAGAAGCAGATGGAACAAGAAGATACATTGCTGAAACTATGTTGGAAGAGTTGAACGTTATGGCAGAAGAAGAAGGCCAGTTTGATAAAAGCGAAGTTCCCAAACTATCCATGGGTGGATAACCAGCTATGCTGCAGTATTTAAAAAGAAAAAATGCAAAAAGAACTTGGAAGAAGTTGGTATTCCCATTGAAATGAGTAGAAAACATAGTAATTCTAACACTATTACAGGAGATAATTGATCGACATACTTAATTTCATATATAAAATATAAAGCAGAAACCTTCAAATGGCAACTTTGTACATAACTTTCTTTTTTTCTAACATATGATAGAGATTTTTTTTTTAATTTTCATGTTTTTTCACATCTATCCTATTGTTTTGCATATAACTATTTCACAAACTCAGTCGATTATTTTCTTCAATTAGTAAATGTGCCCCAAATTTTTATATGTAAATCCCCTGCTTCATACACGTTTCACTGGGGTGTTACACATCAGTATAAACACAAACATAGTTGAGCACACTTATAAAAAACTATATGCAAGGATTTTTTATTGGGTGAAATGTAGATCATTTTTAATAATAAAAATAAATAATAATTATAAACATTCTCCTAAAATTGCTTTTGCTTGCTTCTTCTCCAAAATTTTCTTTGCTGCTCTCACACTTGAGTAACAG